TTACGTTGTAAGAAAGGCCTGTATATGGAGACCATCGACGATTAAAAAATAAGCGGCTTAAATATGACTGGAAAGAAATATTTATTCATTTCAAATACTAAAACCCCATTTTAGGTCGGGGTCGATTCGTTTAGGTCGGGGGTTTTCATAAATTTTGAATTTAATAATATTATTTATTTATTTTCAGGGAAAATGGTGATGAAGAATGGACCAATATGAAAGATAGCTGGATAAAATATGACAAAAAAATTAATGAATGTAAGTTGGTTCTTCAGCAAAAAAAAAGAAAATATATTTCTATGATGAAATGATTTCCTAAAAAAAAAAGTTGAGATCGCAAGACCGATCTAACATGACTGAACAGTTCATGATTCTAGCCTCAGTAATGAAAATTTTGATAGTGCAGTCCCGAATCAATCAAGCTCGGATACACTGAACGGAGTGAGACGCAAAGGGCTAAAAAAAAAAAAAAAATGAACTAAGTGAAGTTGACATTAGGTTTATGAAGTTTATGGATAGCAGACGAGATGAGAAAAAAAAAACCGTAGTATGAACTTTTTTATGGGATCGCGATTGAAGTTCAGTGAGAAAATAGAAGACTTTCAGTTTCAAGTAATTTCAATAATAAAAATATTCAACAAGACATGTACTCAGTATATACCTACATCAAGAAACCAATGGGATCAAGGCCATCAAGGATATTTAAGTGGTACAGCATCCTCAATGCACGTCAACAAGTCTACAGCTGCTGATCGAGCTATGGAATAAGTGTCAAGACGTTTCTCATGATTGGACAGGTTCTGTTAGAGCCAATCACTACCGACCCGATCACAATTATCTGTACATAGTGTAAATGCGGAAAGTATCTCGGCAGATTCTCAAGTTTTATTGAAGACGAATTCGATTTTAGTACCGATTGAGTAGCATTTTCAGGTAGTGTATTTTTGATTTATTGTTCTTAAATTAATAATTATTAAAATTCAATTACATGTATATTTGTTGGTGCAAAAACAATTTTAAACTAAAATATGTATTAATTTTGTACCTACTTACCTCAGAGTTACAGCCAATTTCTGCGGGCGATATACTCTCTCGCATAAAAGTATTTGTTTTTCCTGGGATAATTTTTGGAGCAGTTGTCGAATGATTTTCTGCATTCTAAAATAATTGAAAACTTGTCTTCATCTTCTCTCAATTGATTCTTGACAAGTGTAGAAACGCGCCATATCCTCCCTTTTTTCTAAAATCGGATGTATCAAAACCTTACTTCCCTTTTTTCTATTTTCTTTTTCCTATATGTAATAAGCAACTATATTTTTTTCGTAAGAAAATTCATACGAGACGTCCTCAAGCCCGAGTAAAAGCGCTACTAGCCAGTACTTACCAGTGCGCGGTTTTTGCCGTATCATGTACAAGTAGCACGTTTTTCAACCGTACGGTTACACACCGTAGTTTGAACAACCGTGTAATGGAAAAGAGGCCTTAGTCTATGGAGCAATCATTTCCTTTATGTCAAAATTTGCATTCTATTATTCGAAACATATTTTATGACAGTAAATTCAACGTACATACTATCTTGGTCGCTTATATAATACACAACCACTATACTATATTGCATTATCGTGCTTCCATCTCTTTTGTATGCGTTTAGAAAGGGACTTCACTATAATGTACAGAAAACTCAATTATGACATTTATGACTCATAAAAGTTGCCAGTTATTTTATGATTGACATTTTAGTGTTAGAAAAAAATGTCGATAATTTTAGCGTCATACAAAAATTAAATTCATCCGATCTGTCACTTGTACAAATTTTAATATGTCGTGTCCCTTTCAAACGCTTACAGATAGAGGAGGAACTAGAATAGATTTTACATAATTTATAGATAGAGAATGTACACATTATTTACATTATATTACATTAGCTTGGCGCACACTAAAACAACATATATGGCCAAAATTAATACTATTAATCTGGTTTTAATAAAAAATTCAAACAGTAGTATAAAATAATTTTTTTGACACATTTTAAATTTTATTATAATAAGCCTTGATTACATTGACTAGACATCGTCGCTTGAGAAGCGAGAATTTCATAATACTGTCCAAAGTTTAAAAACGATTCAATCATAATTTTCGTGTGCGCCAAACTTTCTTAAAAATCACAATAACTTGTTTATAAAGTCTTTTACACCTCAGGAAGTGCTGAACAATTATTGATGTCAGTGCGTGTGTCTATTCGTCTTGAGGTGCGTACTATGTCGTCAGTCTGCCCGGCGTACGTCTGAAAACCCATTTTTTTTAAATTAAGTCACGTGGTTTATAGGGATTTACAATGACAAAACTAAAATCTAAAATAAAAAAAAATCTAAAAGGTTCCAAAATACAATGGAAAAACAAATATGTAGTAATGTTTCGTTTATCGTATTTATTAGTATTTAAAATCTAACTAGCTAGATGCCATACATTATGTCCTAAAACAGAAGTGGCAATGGGCGGGGCATTTAGCAAGATACACAGATAAAAGGTGGACTCTAAAGATAACTGTATGGAAATTGGAAAGGACCAAGAGGAAGAAGGAGAAGAAATAGAAGAAGCGAATGGAGAAAGAAAGACATAGACAGAGTCAGTTCGAAAAAGCGGAAGGAGGCCTTTACCCGTGAAGGGGTTCCGATCGACAGTACTGAAGGTACGAGTAGGATAACCAGATAAAAATAATGTATAAAATGTTTAAAAAATGTAATCTGTATAAAATATAAAATATTTTTTTTGTCATGATTGGAAATGAAACGGGCTTTATTATTATTTATTTAAAATCTTAGCCCTTATTCTAGAACATCAAACTTAATTCTAATTTCAAGAGCACAATATTTCTGTATGAAATTTGACGTATTTTTCAGTGGATAGCAAGAGATTGTAACTTGAGATACGAATTAGAATCTAAATTTTATTTAATTTGTTTTATTTATTATTTAATACTTTAATTAAATAACCAATATTATAACAATAATCAGAGCAGGAAGTGCCTCGAGTGGGCATCTTGGCTGTTCAAAAGTTTACGTTCCATTTTTATTTGATTCTCGTTTTCGCATTGTAGGGAAACGTCGTTGAACCAAGTTGAGTCTAAAAGACGCTTTATTAAAAGTTAGATACACCCTGAGACAAAATCACTTTTCGAAAGCCTACTACCGCCAAACGAATTTGTATAAAAATTGGTCACGTGACCAAGAGTGATCTAATATCATTCCCATACAAATACATTTAGCGTTAATGGTTCAACTGTCGAAATGCGATTTTGTCTAAGCCTGAACCTACTTCTCCGTCATACTTTGAAACTGAAAAAGGAATTCCATTAAAATTACACTGGTACGAGAGCTTTATCTGTGTTTTGTGATATCATGAAAATGTGTCGACATAGGGAGCGTGGGGCTAGTTGTAAAATTTTAACAAATAATTGAATATCATGAAGAATATTGGCTAAATTACTACTAAATAAACTTTGATCGATACTTAACTATTTATCTATGAAGTCGAATCGAAATATTATCAAATCTACAGGTAACTATCTCACAATTATTTTTTTCTAAAAGAGAAGTGTTACAACTTACCCCGTTTGGCTAGTTGTAACAACAAAAATGACACCTTCAATTTAATTTTTTTCACATCTTGGCATTTATCTCTGTTCTACCTACATCTCCATCGCAGATTTGTTAACTTTTCCTCCCCTTTCACTTTTCTTTATCATCTTTTTTGCATTTTCTTCATCTTTTCTTCATATCTACTCTCAAAGCTTCATTTTCAGGCGTATCAGTCAGAACAGAGACTTCCTTTTGCTCTGCAATTTATATTTGTTTTCGTGGTTTGGTATGGTTAACTTTTGATGGGAAAAATTGATTTTGACAGAGCAACTTGGATGTTTGTTCGCGTCAATTGGTAATTTTTGTGCTGATATCCACTTGGAGCAGAATCTATAGTTCTGGATGTTTAAGACTCAACGAAAAGAAATTCTCACTTTCATTTGAACATTTTCTGATTGTATGAGGTTGATATAGTAACATAAGAGAGCGCAAAGTCACTATCTTGGAAAATATCAAATCAGGCCAATACCGAAGCTTTAAGTCCACTGATAAAGACTCCTTACTACATTGGGATGTCAAATTGTCATTTTTCCTGAAAACATCCATGATCTGCGTATAGTTTTTAAAAGGCTAGACTCCTACATAAAGTTGAAAATTTGGGAGCAATGGGAGGAAAACTATAACATGATAACATTTTTTCTTTGGCTTTTTCGACAACTGAGCTGACACTACTCACAACTGAGAGACAACATTCACATGTGAGCCATGATTATCGAGCAGTAACAGAACTGGCTCTTTCTTGGTAGGTTTCGCGTGTTTGATAAAGTGATCTACAAAAATCAAAAATTCTTTATAGTATCTCCACCCTGAAGAATTGCCAGCTCCAATGCAATCTTCAGGTCCACCGCGAATGAACATTTGTGAGTATTTAAGCCGGGGAAAACTGAACATCGGCCTCAGTAACTTACAGCAATCTGGGGGCAAATTGTAACATGTTACAACAAACCCCGAGGTTTTGTTACAACTAGCCCCTTGATAGAGTTCTTAATATTATCACGATAACTATTAAATTAACTTAGTAATCTTGAAAACTGTTATACAACATCATAATAGTTAATTTAGCATAAAATAAAATACATAAACTTCAAAGTTACGAAAATAGTGAAACTAACCAAAAATTTACGTTAGTAAAATTATAGGTTTCCTGTCAACAATTAAGCTTTGCACACACCCACTCACTGAGCCGCCTGGTAGGACCCTGGCTGTGGTAAAGTGGCGTGGCACGTTATAAGTTGAAGATTAGGTAAAAAAAACCGTGAATAAAATTCAAATTCCTATTGAAAAAGGTCTTTACTATTTACCCCTGTAACAACAAGCCCCGCGCTCCCTTATATATGTGTGCTCACCGGGTCTGTGTGTGCGCTAGGAGCGATAAGCAGGGCTGTGTGAACGACCACGACTCACGCTACTTTCACCACTGTAAACACCACCCTCTCTGAAATCAACAAGAATTTCATTAATAACAATCTAGTCCAGTCGCAACCTCTTAGAATTTTCTATCCAAGACACGTATACGTACACTTATAGCGTTAATTGCGTATAAAGCAAAAACAATTGGGTTTTTGAAAAAAAAAATTTTTAGTGATAAAGGGAAGATCATATATAAGTTTTATAACAAAACTATTTTTTTTATTTCTTTTCGCAATAATTCAAAAGTTATTTCAAAATAATACATAATTTTTTAATCCAGTACTGAAAACACGCCGAACAAACCCGAGCGCGTGTGACGTCATAATGTTAGTTTTCACTCATTGCAGTTGATAGAAAAATAATAAATACAATATTAATATTTAATATACTATATATATATTTAATATATATTAATAGCCGTAAACGCTGTACTGTTAAATTGCTTTAACATTATGACGTCACAACATGGTGATCGATCATTCATGGCGCGTTTATAGTCACGTGATTTTTATTTAAATTTCATCAATTTTTAATTGTTCATAATAAATTGAAAAAAAAAATGTAAGTTTTTTGCATTAAACATCAATATTATTAACAATAAAGTTTTAAAATACATAAAAAAAAACAATTTTTTTTTAAACCCAATTGTGTGCACAGCCTTTAGACCAGTGTTTCCCAACGTGAGGCCCACGCCCCACAAGGCGGTAATTTCATTGTTAGGGTTTCATTGTCGAAAGTTCTTTAAAACTATTTGGTACTTTTTCATCATATGTATTGAATATTTACTTACTGTGTTTCGTTAACAATTTCCTAGTTATTACTTTCTAAAACCTATCTTTAAGTTTCTTAATTTAATTCAACTTTGTAATATTAATAATTATGTGATTGGGGCATAAGAAGCTTAGGAAGGCTAAGGCACAAATAGACTGGGAAAGTCTCCTTTAGACCTTAGGAGTTGTTAAGGGGCCATAAATAATTTCTTTCGGTATTACTTTTTCAATTACCTATTAAGGTATGAGATTTGAATGAATAAGTAACTCTTTAAATCAAATCTATGTACACACAATTTGTTCATTGACTTACCTATCGTATTCCCTCTCTGTACTGACTCGCTCCGTACCGCTCACTCCGCTTATGCCGCTAACTGACACTAGAACATTACAATTTATTTAATAACTATTTCAGATTCTTAATTAGTAACCATGAAACTTATACAGTAATATATTCATTAATTCTAAGTATTTTTTATAAAAATTCAAATTAAATATTAATAATTTTAATAACCCACGTAAAAAAAACACAATATTTTAATATGTTAATTGTCATTCGAAAACTTCAACAAGTATGCTATTGTCGATTTCACAGTGCCACATACTTTTCTGGCCGGCGGCTGAAATTGGTACTACCGTCGCTATTTTGGTGAGTACAATAAATAATTTTACTATCTACCGACATCTAATAAATAATAAAAATGTATTTATTTTACAATGCATTATTAACTACAATGGCAATATTTTAATTATCGAACGGTTCTGATTGCTAGGTATCTTATTTATACATATTTATTTATTTATACATATTTATTTATTTATACATATTTATTTATTTATACATATTTATTTATTTATACATATCAATAAATTATTAAGTTAGCCTACATAACCTTTTAAAAATAAATTAATTTAACTTCAATTGAATTATTTCCTTTATAATGGTTAATTTCTATTTACTGGCAATACTAATATCCATGATAGCGACTCTCTTACAGGCCAAGAAAAGTATGTGGCACTGTAAAAATCTGTATTTTGAATGATTGTTTTTTATATAAATCAATGAATTTATTTTTCATATTATCAAACAGCCCATAGCAAATAAAACATTTCGTTTCACCATCAAACCCACGATCTCCAAATTCTTCGCTATCATATAAGTTAGAATAATGGTATTAATATCACTCACGTGTCCTCGCATGGGGCGAATGCCTAGCGCTCCGAGCTCTCTGCATGCTGCCCCCGGCCGCTCCCTCTATGCTCCTTGATACAGCTCCCTCCAGCGAAAGGGCCGGTGAAGCCCGACTGCGGAGTGCTGAAAAATCTAAAAAAAATATTATTTAATACTAAATCCAGTGTATAAGTATTTTTTAATTATAATACCGTTTTATTTAATACATTAAAAGTAGAAAATTATCAGTAAATCAATGATATTTTTTTAAAATAAATAAAGTACTGTGTCTCTTTTCATCACAGTGTCGAGATGATTTAACAGAAAGAAACAAAATAATTCTTTAGTTTAGAGTAAATAGGTAGTTTTCATAATGGGTTACAATATTAAAAACTGAGTTATTCATATTTATCATATCATTATTCTTAGATAGGACACTTATTATTTTCCATTCGGGTGCTCGGATGCGATGGACGGGTAATAATAGGTCAATACGAATTTTGTTTTTAAAATGAAATACACTTTTGATCGTCAATATATGATATATATCACATGCTTCTATTTTATTAATATACGAACCAGTATTTGGTAGCAAATCCGCACGACGGCTGCTCGCCTGAAGAGAACCGTACGCTGCAAATACAGTCAAATCAAAATCTCGGTATATTTAACATCAAAAACACGGTAAATTATAACCTGATTACCCAAAGGAAACTTAATTACAAGATACAAATCAACGAACACTACGAAATTCATTACAGAAATAATAATAAAGTAATTTAGTAAAACTACAGCAACTTCCAATACATATTAACATTATTTACATATTTAGATTTTATACATGTCTCGTCAGAAAAACGTGGATATCTCAAAAACTACTGGACCGATTCTGATGAAGTTGTGCTGTTTCCTAATTTGACCTGAATATGATTTGTTGAGATATTATCTAATTGCACTATATCAAAAACAACAGGTAAAACTTGTTTAAAGAAGCTTAAAAGCTTTTTTAACCAATGAGGTTCTAGGTTTGAATTCCATAGATATCTACTCCACGTCCCCATTAACTATAATTCCCTAAAGCGTCAAAATTACTTGGCATTATTGCAAAATGTTTTTCCTTATAATTACTTTGCAAAGTCAGAAAAACCCCCTCAACGTCACTATACAGTGTAAACTCCATGTAACGTCCCTCGCATTAATACCAACCTTCTAAGGCGTCGAAATCACTCGGCATTGCACGTGCTTTATAACGAAGATGCCTCAATATCGCAAGATATTAAGTAAAAAATACAACCTAACTACTGGTATAGTACAAAAATAACACAACGCAATAGCGTTCAAATACGAATTGTTTTTATGTAATTACTAACACTAGTCTGAAACTTTCTTTTTCTAATATAGATTATTCTTTCCATGTAACGACAACTCTTTATAACGTCACAATATCCACTGTCCCTGGAGTGTTATATAGAGTTTACACTATATTTTTTTTCCAATCACCAATACTGACCTCTGATAACGGACAGTTCTATAGCAACACGCAGATCGTCGTCATCAGTTGTCCGTCCACGACCACAAGAGGAACTCTGGAAACAGATACAAAATTAAAATTCAGATAATATGTTGTGTTGTACCTGTAATAATAATAAACCAAATATTAAAGTATTCTTGTATCAAATAATTTTAATCATGTCCAAATCACGAAAGACAATCACTCAAATATATTAAAGTTAGCAACTATTTGTTGCTTCTTGCAACCGCAATTCAACAACGCACGAAACGTAGTTTGAAAATTTTATTTCACACAATTCATAGTTGTCAAAACTTGTAAACCTTTACGGCTTGACGCTGACAAATAAAATATAATTTTATTTTTCTGTATCTATATAATATATAGATATGATCTATGAACGACCTGTGACTCTGTGATAGTAGCATATTACATATGTATGTTCGGTGGGTGCCAGCAGCCAATTCATAGTTTTAAATATAGGTAATTTACTTTCGCCCGCATTTAAGAAATAAAATTACCTGCGCATGCTCTCTATGCGTCCTCGCCGACATGGCCGCTCGCTGCGCACGAGATCCTGAAAATTATAACAGTATAATATTTTACATAAAATAAAAATGAATCGCCAGATTTTTAGATCGATCGATCGCTAGATTTTTTTAAACTGTAAAGTTTAGTTTTATTTAATCCATAGGTTTTAATTCCGGAAAAGCGAACAGTTTCCATAGGAAAGCATAGCAAATGTTCCATCGGTAAGTAGCTACTAAAAGGGCTAAGTAAAAAAAATCATATTAAGACGAAATAAAGTGCGCGGGGACATCTAGTAATATATATTTTTCTAGAACAGGTGACAAACGGGCAGGAAATTCACCTGTCATCATAAGTCATACGACCACGGAGAGAAGACTAGCGAGTACATTTCCGATCTTTCAAAATATCTCAATCCAATATTTCAATGATTGAGAAATTTTAATTCGTTTTTTTAATAATAAAAATCCCGTGGTTACACGACAGCCAACAAGCATAACAGACAATATACAATTCGTATTTAGATTGTCAATTGTCATTGCAATGCCATTAGCAACACTAAAAGTCATAATTACATGAAAGCCAACATTGGTTGGCAGCACCTTTTCGAATTTTCTTGAAACCTGTTTACAAAAAAATTATCTAACCTGGTCTTGGCGTGTGCGTAGCGCCATCTCCTAAATCGAGTTGCACGAGACCGGCACCTACACTGCCCACACTGCTCACGCTGCCCACACTGCCCGCGCTGCCAGCACTGCCCACGCCTCCTCCGTATTCTGCCCAAAATTATCTCGGTATCAGATTTAGAATTTTTTTTCCCTTCTCTAAACTTCTTTATATTTCCCGTATATAATATGTTATGTTTCTAAAGTTTCTGGGACAAATATCAAACAGTATCGAAACTTTTTTAATATCCAGGAAATTCTAGTATATTCCTGAACCAGTTAGGATTTTATAAAGAAATAGTTCAAAAGCGTAAATAAGAACAACAAACTGTAAGAATTGACAAATGAATAGAGGATCCAATCACTATTGTAGCAGCGGAACCGCGCTTTGATAAAAACTAAAAAAATTGAACTTTCTATTGAAGTGTAAGAATTAAGATGCCGTATTAAATATCCTTAAGGAGAAGTTATAATTTAAAAAAAATAAGCTTCAAGCTACATCAGAGTAGCTCAGGGGACATACGTAAGTGCTTCAAATGATAGTGAAAATAAAGTAAATCACTAATTATGCGTCTGACGTGAATAAGGGTCTGTTTCACAATGTATGGATAAAGTACCAAATAGCTATGCAACACAAATTATTTGGAAAATTAATTGTGCTATTTGACACTTCATCGGACTCACTACTTATGATGTACTTTATGTGACGAATAGCACTATCTGACAGTCGTGAAACGCAATAATAGTATTTAACCTACCCATAAGTAATAAATAGCTAATTTGGAACTTATGTAGAACTTATCCGTACATTGTGAAACAGACCCTAAATCTTCATAAATTCTACTATTCGTTTGGGATCTTCGATGCCACAGACACTTACACGCCCTTTTGCTACGCGGCGGCTTACCAGAGAATTTCGAGTTACATAAAATGTGTTTATATTTTTCTCAAAAATGTAATCCATCTATACTACTAAACTCACCTGGCCTCGGCGCGTGCGCATGTCTCGTGTAAAGATAGTGCGGCGTCAGCAAGTGAGTATTTCCATTCGGTGCCATCGCCACGTCTGGAACAGCTGCCGATAAACGACCCAAGGTGGACCTATAAAGGATGAGAATTTGAAACTAACAGGCTGTAACACCGACGATTTTGCTAATGTCTGCTCTTATCAAACTGAGAAAACATAAGCCAGCCAGCAATCAAATAATTAGGAAAATAATACGTAATACTTTGTCTACAAACAATTTTTTAAACAAAAATCTTGGTAACTAAAAGTAGTGGCTCTTCGCGTCCTTTCTCTTGATTAAAAAGGCCGTAAATGTAAATTTAAAAGCATTTTTTAATGATATTTTGGTTTTGTCTTACCTATGTGGTGTGTCAGGCGGCCTAGCGGGTAGCTCGCGACGACAGGAGCCCGTACTATGAGGCTCTGAAAACATTTATTATTAAGTAAATTACCCTTCTAAGATAATTAAATAGGTTAAAAACTTTTAATACTACCCATCCATCCATCTAGAGAAATTGAAATCATACGATTTTTTAAAGTCTCAAATGTGGCTTGTTTTTGAAAAATGTTTAGCTTACCAGTTGGCAAGTGCAATGAAGGCGCTGCTCTTAGACTACCGGCTGATCCGCATCGAGTACTTGACCTGTAATGAAATATTTTTGTGTCATGAACTTTTCAACTAAACAAATTTCGAGCGAACTTCATTCAAGCGACTTTCATTACATATCCTTTATACAGGGCTTTTTTCATCTAGACATTTATGCCCTTTCCATAAAAAATAAATCTTGTAACTTAAATTAAACTCTCTTCATCTCAACGTAAATACAATTTGGCAGGAAGAGACAAAGAAGTCTTCGAGTTAAAGCAGTGTTTCCCGATCTCGTTTGTGCCATAAAGCCTAAAATTCTCATTTTAGAAACTTAAATGATAGGTTTTAGGAATGAAGAAATGACTAGGAAATTGTTAACGAAACAGTAAGTCAATTTTCAAAACATATAATATCACTTACATACTAGGAAATTCAAATAATTTAATAAATTTTCGAATAGCTTTATAACTTTTTTAACAATAAAGTTGCGCTCCTGTGGCGCGTGGGAAACACTGAGTTAAAAAGTGTAGTTAAACTGTTATTTTTTTTTATAAATAAGAGAATATTTTTTGTATATATTGGAAATAAATATATCCTATGTTTCTGAATAATAATGTAGCATTCTAATAGAAACGGACTTTTAAACCAGTTCAGTAGTTTTTGAGATTATTTGTTATAAACAAAAATGCAAATGATTCCACTTCAAAAAATTGGTACCTATTTCGTTAATCAATATGTATATACAAGAAAAAAGGTGGTAAATTAAAAAAATTATAATTGTCACCTGCAACACTCCACTTCGGCTGAAGTCGCGCCGCGAGACTCGCTTCGGCCCTCGACCCCACTCGCGACTGTCGACTCCCTATAACATTGACTCAAAACGTTAATATCACATTTCTTAAAAAAAGTGTAACAATTACAGTGACCACAATAGTGATTAAAAACTGAAATAGAAACTATATCTTACAACTACATTCAAAAGAATTCAAATAAACTATAACCAGTGTTGAATCGTTTTTTTTTATAAATTGGAAGAAAAATGTGATTTAAATTGTTAATACTTTTTAATAAATTTTTGATGTTGCATTTTTGACTTATTTTGAGAAAAATGGTTCACTTGTTCATATGGGAGTTTATGTATTATCTCCCTTTACCAATAAGCCCGTAAATAAAAAGGTCCAAGATATAGTCAGAGAAGTGTCCAATAGGTTCACAGATGAGAAAACATAACTAAAATAAACAGAAATACACTAACAACTATCGGTACTAACAAGGAAATATTAGCATCTATCAAGAGTACAAGGACGAAACAATTATAAGATTCTAAATGGCACTTGAAATCAATAGGAGACGAAAATATATACATTAAAAAAGTGAGTGTCATAAGAATTACACATTCTGTGTCAATGTGTGTGCTGGGAGGAGGGGTCGATCATAGGTGTGATACGTAATTTAAAAGAAAGTAACAAGTCACAACAAAGTAACTAAAACAATCTATCCGGGTAAATCAAAAATAATAATTAAACAAAATCTTTCTTACAGTACCTGTCATTATCCTCTCCATCCAATAACAACTCGGCACACCCATCGGGCAGAGACATCTCCCGAACCGCCCGCAACGCTATCTGCCTATTCACGGGCCTCTGATCCGAGTGTAGAGCCAGCGCACGCGCGGCGTTCGGAGTCGCACGCAATTCACGTACACGTGCACGTGCCCGCGACAACAACCGTGGCGGGATGCACGCGTGCTCGGTGCTCGCACGGGGCTCGGGAGCTATATCCCGTAACATGTACAGTGCGTCGGGGATTCTGTGCAACATCCGCGCGCGACGTTCAGCCGCTAGTTCCGCGGCTGGGGCTGTTTGGGAGCTAACTAGCGCCTAGAACATAGAAAACAATTATCGTGAAACAACGATAATAAACTAATTTAGACTTTAATGAAGTACGCCATCGTTTTAAATTTTGATAAAGGTTGATCTAAATAGTTTACCTTTTAATATTCAAACAACACCCGAAAATTAAAAAGTATGTTTTCATCAACCTGCTTGTGATTGGTTGGCTTTATAGACGTTATAAGTATATAGTATATGCGTTTCGTTTTTGTATTGATTGTATTTTGTTCAACTCTTTAGTTAGCAAGAAATTTAAATGAATTTGTACTGTGGCTCTTCAGGTTAAACCCATTTGTGGATTTTTGGTGTTTAGTACTTTTAGTATATTTATAAGGTTAAGTAATAAAACATTTAAAAAAAAAACTTATATTATTGCATAATATTAATTTAATTGATAGGTGTAGTACAATAAAGTTGGGTTCTTGTGAACTATTAATATATTTTGTGGAACTATAATATTGTAAAAAAAGTTGTTTTAATACCTACAATAATGTTACCTAACACTTTTAAAAAACACTTAATAAATCCGATACCTTAATCTCATCGAGGTATGGAAGAAAACAGCGAGGTGAACGAAACGCCCCGCGGCCTAACCATGCGTCGGCTGAGTTGACGCCACTTTCCAAGTGCGCTGGCGCAGGGATCAGACCACGACGGATCATCTGCAAAGTTCTTACATTAATTAAGAAATAAAACATAAGTGAACACACCCTGACAATACACAAGAAGAAATGTGTTTGTGTTTTGCAGGTTTGTCGCAGGATTGGATTTGGATGCTTAGGATTCCCTGATAGCTGTTCAGGAAATAGACGTGTCCATACTAAGAAGATTACAGGTAAAAGTCGCCTTTCGACACTTTGTTACCAACGCATCCTGCGTATTTTGGACATGTAACAAGAGATCCAGAAAGTAAAGAAAAACTTATTGTGACTGGCAGTGTGGAGGGCACCAGAGCTCGAGGCCGATTCCCTACTCGCTGGACTGATCAAGTAAAAGCCCTTACAGGTCTTGCCATCACCTAGGCTCAAAGGCTTGCCGAAGAGAGGGGAGAGTAGAGAAAGTTGTGCGGCGCCACTAACACGACTTTCAATAATAAAGAGTGCGACTGACAGTGGCGTAACAATAGGGTGGCAGGGCTGGCAAAATGCCACAGGCCCCCGACCCAAGAGGAACCCTGCCCAGGAGATATTATGTTCTATGGATGAATGTGAAGTCTCCAATACGTATTGGGCTAGCGTGGGGACTACAGACCATTCCCTCTCACTTAAGAGAGGAGGCCTATGGCCATTAGTGGGACATATACAACGTGTAATTGAGTACGCTAAAAATCTCGAAGTTTATTAAAATTTAACTGAGTTCAATGTGACGATTTTTACTGATAGGGCCCCATCAAAACAATTTGCCATGGGCCCCAGATGGTATAGTTACGCCACTGGCGACTGAAGAAGAGGACAATACGAGGATAAGAGCAAAAACTTACCTGTTGAAGGAGGTCACAGTCAGACGGCAAATGCTCAGTCCGCAAGTGCGGGACGAGGGAAGCGAGCGCGTCCCTCACACCAGCCTCGCTTACGTCACGCCGTCGCCCGCCACGCGCGCGTCGCGACACCGAGTGCGCTGTGTGCCATACTACGTTTGGCTCGCACGAACCCCCATCTAGAAGGTTAATTACTACGTATTGTACGTGCGACGCTTGTAAAAATAATACTTGACATTGAAGAATACACCTAATATTACAAAGGGGAAAGGATTTTTGTTTGTTTGTAATCTATAAATTCTACTGAATCGCTCAGCGAATACTGTAGACTATATCATAACTATATATTAACATAGTCCATATAGTAACATAGTCATCATGTTACTGTAAAAGTTAAAAAAAAAATTGAAATCTTAAGCATAAGCCCTATTTCATTTTTATTGTTTTTTTTTAAGATAATGGTATGTTGTTAAGACGCACAAATGTCGCGTTGGTGGTTATTTGATAGTTGAATAGTTAGTAATAAATAAATAGCCTTACGCTACGACCGAGTAATGCGGTTGAAATCGCATAATACAACTAGTATTATACTCAAGGGAGATTACTCAAAGCCCAGCAACCCCAATTACTTAAAATCAAGGTATTTTAAGTAATTGGATAGACAAGGAAGGAATTAAATAATTACAACAAGATCCTGATTATATTAAATCAAAAATATATTCTTGTCATAGATTTGTCAATAAAACTAAGTTTTTTATTTATAACAAAAAACTCCTTTAATTACATAAAAAAGTAACTGCTTTATTAAATAAGAGCTAGCAGTTTTTGAAATCTATCTATCATACTACTATTCATCTGCAAAACAGAAAACTATGAAATTCTGAAATAAATGTGTATATTATAAATCACCTCTCGTATCTGCAGCCCGTTCAGCCCACCGCAATGCCGCTCTCAAAGCTTGAGGTTCGCTTGCCTGAAGGAACTGCGAAGACAAGGCTTCCGCTAGGGCCGCCCTTGGCAACCGCGCGGATGCGGCACAGGACATTATCGTGGGGAATTCATCGCGAAGGTAACGCATTGCTTGCCTGGAAATTTGACAGTCATTGGTGCGATTAGGAGAAAATGTTGGAAGGTAAAATTTATACAGGATATCAAGAATTAATTTAATACGCAACTATACGACCGCTTCGAACTACTTTATTACTAACAAATTACACTTCCAACATTGAATATGTTGAAAGGATATTTTGAAAGGACTTTTAGTGTTCTTTCAAAAGATTAGATGCACTTATAAACTATTCTTGCACTTTTATAAAAATCAAATAAAACTAAAATGAAATAAAATTGAGAATAGAAATTATGACGTTATACAAAATTTCTTACTTTTAACATTAATTAATTAAAATAACAAGCAATATTTCATTAAAAAAGTAGATTGCGCCTGGACTCACTATGCGCCTAAATATATATATTTTGGTAAATTTTAATGGTTTTTTGCTCAAGCATGTGTGATGTTAGACTGAGGACAATCCGATACGTATGAAAATATATAGAATGAAAGAAATGACATGAGAACTACTACCAAATCCATGCAACTTCCTTAGAATCGAGTAGTCCGCAATATCGCAGCACACGACTCACGAGGGGACTCTTTGTATCGAAGAAGTCGCATGGGTCCGCCAAGCATCCGCAAAAATACAATTTAAATAGTATTGTCATTTATTGACATAACCTTTACACATTAAAAGAAAACACTTTTTAACCGATTTAAAGTTATGTATAATTATAATTATTCTAAATAATTGTGTATTTAAATTGTTTAATTAAAACACTTTTTAACCGGATTAAAGTTATGTATTATTATAATTATTCTAAATAATTGTGTATTTAAATTGTTTAATTAAAACACTTTTTAACCGGATTAAAGTTATGTATAATTATAATTATTCTAAATAATTGTGTATTTAAATTGTTTAATGAAAACACTTTTTAACCGGATTAAAGTTATGTATTATTATAATTATTCTAAATAATTGTGTATTTAAATTGTTTAATTAAAACACTTTTAACCGGATTAAAGTTATGTATAATTATAATTATTCTAAATAATTGTGTATTTAAATTGTTTAATGAAAACACTTTTTAACCGGATTAAAGTTATGTATTATTATAATTATTCTAAATAATTGTGTATTTAAATTGTTTAATGAAAACACTTTTTAACCGGATTAAAGTTATGTATAATTATAATTATTCTAAATAATTGTGTATTTAAATTGTTTAATGAAAACACTTTTTAACCGGATTAAAGTTATGTATTATTATAAATTTACAATTATTTAACTTAATTTTAAATTTTTAACCGACGTTTCGCGTGCTTTACAGCGTGCGTGGTCACGGTGACTGAAGACAAAAGGTGTTGAATGTCAAAAAATACAACAGCTGTAGAAAAAGTTGCATTATCTGTATTTATTTCCCGGAGTTGGTATCGACTAAAAGATGTAGGGTTTTGGCAGAAATGGCTCAAATGGCGAAACGTCGGTTAAATTTAAAATTATGTAAAATAATACATAATTTTAATCTGGTTAAAAATTGTTTTCTTTAAACAATTTAAATACACAATTATGTAGAATATAACACGGCAAAAGAAAATAATAATAATAACAAATAATTAGCACAACAAGGTCTATGGAGTTGCTGAAAATACTCTGTTGCGTTCTACAAAAAAAAAAATGTCTTGTGATAAATAAACATACCGATGGACCCAAGCACTGGCGTGGGGCTGCGCGCACCAACGGAGGACGTGGGGCAAAGTCTCAGGCGACAACGCGAACAGTATAGCGTCTTCACACCCTTGGGACACGATCGCCATCTCCAAAAACCTGTAACAGACATTTTTTTGTATTAATTTTTTGGATGAGATTAAGAGCCTCAACTTAGCTTAGGAGAACTTGTTTATTGCATACATTTTATCGCGGGCATTATGCGCGACAACGAATCAAGAAATTCCGTACACGATGACGTAATATAGGTGAGGCCAATACGCGTTAGAGCGGGACAGAACGCATACTGCGTCTCACATCGGTCTGGCGTGATCGGTGACGTAGCGCAGGTGCGTTAGAGTGGGACTGTTCGAAATACATATTTTTAATTTTATTAAATTTGATGAGTGTGATCTCAAAAATCTTTTTACTCGGCCGATCCTCACGTTTTTTCTGGAGTCTTTGTTGAGATTCACTCGGGTAACATTAGATGCATTTTTATTATGATATATAAACTTTTTGTTACTTATAATTTTCAATAGTTACGCCTCCATTTAGACTAGACTTTTATAGTGAGTGTTTTGTGCATGTTCGTGAACTATTATTGTAAGGCAAGGTAAGGTACAGCATCAGTCTAACCTCTCTTTTTTCCCAAACTAACAATTTCTCCAAATCCTTACGGCGGACGTAATTGTGTGCCTTTCTTCCTAGTAAGGAGCAGTACAACGAGGTATGTACTCAGGACTTATTCTAGTATAAGATTATGTATTGACGGCCACCGAACAGTTTATTTGTGGTACATATTTTTTTTACGAACGCATACTGCGTAGTCACATCTCTCTGACGTGATCGGTGACGTAGCTTAAGCGCGACCGGTGCAGCCGGTACGCCTTAGAGTGAGACAGACTATATAGGCGTGTTATACTGAGTCTGGTAGAGTGGTAGATTGAATTAATAACAAAGAAAAAACTTGAATTAATATTTAAAAAAGAATACTGCTTAAACGTTTTTTTTATGTTACAGGAGGCAAATGAACAGGAGATGTTAAGTGATACCTCCGCCCATGGATACTGCGCTGCCAGAAGGCTCGCAAGCGCGCTGTCGACCGACATTTATATATATATATATGTTCACAGAGTGAATTAGTAATATTGTGTATATTATGTGTTTAATATTATTTACTTCATTATATTTTTTTCGACGTTATCGTATTGGCATAGTCTGTACGGATAATGTATATCTGTAATAAATAAATAATAAATTATATAAAGCCTCGGACACATACCTCAATAAGGTAAACCAAAAGTCTTACCTTGCAATTTCATAGAGCTGAAAAGCGTCGTCTAACTGTGACGTAGTTGAAGTTCGACCACTGCGCGACTGAAAGATAATTCTATGAATTAATCAACAACACCGATTCAATTAATATGGGACCAAAAAAGGGACTATATATAATAAAATTAACCGACTATAAATACTTGTCAACACTAAACTCTGCTTTTTCATTCCGTAGAATTCTGACATTTCATAAGTGTTGCTACTAAAAAAGTTCATACCGAAAAAGGGACAAATTTGACCCATTTGAGGGAATTAAAAAATAAAACGTTACGTATATATTTTACGTTTTACCTACAAAAAGGTAAATCTAAATATACAATTACTCATGTGACCTAATACAAAAATAACAAATACAGTTCAATATCAGGAACAATATATCGAATTATCTTTAATTATTTTATTTTTTTTGGCTGGCATCTGCCTACTAATTCCAGGTTTAGTAAACATGTCAAAAAATGATAGCAGAATTCTACGGAATTAAAAGAGTATAGTGTATTTAATATCCAGAAACGCGTATTAATGTGAAAAAATTATGAACAGAATTGAAATGAAATATGGACTGGTCCCTAAGTTAGAAATATAAAAGATCATGTCGATATGACTAGAAAAGAGATATAAGACAAACTTATTTAAAAAAGAGAGGATTTTTTGGAAGTCTCTGAAGAAGGTCTCATTCTTATAATAAAATACAAACTAGGTACATGATCATAATGATTAAATTGAAACTATTTTTTATGGATTTCCATCTACAGGTCAATCTGTTACGCTTACACTCTTAAACCACTGTACTAATTTTAATGAAATTTAAAAGAGACCTTGGAACACATTGCCTCTTATCGCAAAAGAGATTGAAATGCAATGAAAGTCATATAGCAAATTAAAAATGCTGTCCAAAGTCCCACGCGGATGAAGTTGCGGGCAAAAGTTGGTCATCAGTTTATATAAAATACACTTACCGCTGTCCCGGTTGAGTTGCCGCTCGTTGAAGGCGACGATGTGTTGCGGCTTATCAAGCTAAGATCCACCTGTAACATTACATACCTCTATCACTTTATACTTTATATTATTATTATTATTATACTTTAGATATTATTATTTATTTCTTTGTTGGGTTCATGTTTAAATCTCCTCTCAACTTTGTATACAGTAGTTCAATATTTTTCTTACAAATAAACTAAATTAAGTAACTAATTTCATTTGAAATTTTTTTTTAAATGATAATAAAAAATGAATGGTGTTCAAATGTGTAAAATAAATGTCGAACAAAAGATTTCAAAGCTGAAAAATTGTCTATTGATAGAAATGATAGCTGTTCTACCTGACATCAATACAATTATTATTGTAAAATAAGGAAAGAAAAATTATCTCTCTAAAATCATGAAAGTTAATCGTTAATCAGAGTCCACTATATGACTGCCTTTTTTTAAACATTTTAATTGAAAATAGTTCCGAAATTATACAAGATTTTTAAACTACAGTGTAAACTCTTTATAACGAATTTCAAGGCACCAAGCATTTATGTTCGTTATAGAGAGAGAAGAGAAAAACACCAAATTTAACCAATTACAATAATTGGTGAAATTTGGTGGTGGTTAAGTTTGGTAAAATTATAATAGATAGGTGACAATGGTGCGTTTAGTAACTGAGACCGAAATTTCCTACTAATAATTGCACACGTATTAATTGCATAACAACAACTAAGGCGAGACGGCTGTTTGGCTTCAGGTGCCTTTTTAGAAATTTCGGCACCTCAATAGGTTAGTTTTGTAATCTGATAAAAACGTATATGTTGTTGATGTCTAAATATGAACATATTTCTTCGTTATAGAGAGTGGTTGTAGTGTTATAAAGATTGAATCAATGTATGGGTTTTGTGTTAAACCAACCAAATTATACTTTTTTTTATATAGACAATTTTTCGTTATAATGAGTTTATATTGTATAGTATTAAGATTACTGACGAACTATAATGACGTATCAGTGTTTGTTCGCGATGGCTCACTTTGGGACTCGTTACAATGACTCCATACCTGGTCCGTATAAGCGGCGTGCAACAAGGCGTGTGCGAACCTCCTTGGAAGAACTTTCTCATCGACACATACTGTCCCACCTGCGCCGGCGCCTGTCGACCCGCGACGGCACATCACACTACTGTAATAATGAATATTACTTAATTAATATTAATATATAAATAATTAATATTTAATATTATTGGATTATTGTCAGTCCAACACCATAGCAGCTTGAGCCATTCATCAAATACAGTAAAAATACTTAAAATTTACGCACAGGCGGTATTCGCTATCCTCGTCTGACAAAGGATTAACTCTTATTTGCGGCCAGATTTAACTAGGCACCCATATACGATAATTAATGGAGAAACACCTTCAATTTGATAATAAATGTACGGTATAAACGTATAAATTTATCGGAATCATACCTGTTTACACCTGGCGAAGAGGTGCGTCCAGGTGCGCAACGGCAACCGTGATTTTTTTAAATCTTTATGTAGACGATATATTATTTAAGTAACAAGTGAACGAAATGTTTACTCAAAAATCAATTCAAAATATTTAAATGAAAAATACTAGCGGCCAAATTTTGATAGGCAGCTTGGTAATTTTACATTCTTTTAATTATAAATATACATAAAAATTTGGTTTTTAGCAAATAACCGATGAGCGCACTAATCCTGCAGCCGGATCTTAGGGTGAGATCTATAGTGCGCACTTGGACTTTGCTCAGACTTACCTTACGAAAAACTTTGCTTAGTGTACACTAAGGTTAAACTATGATTTCGTATTTATAGACATTTTAACGGTGAGATTAAGCTAAGCCCAAGCTAAGACAGAAAATGTCAAAATACAAATTGATGTTTCATTTCATGCAATACTTTGTTTATTATCCTTTAAAAAAGTTAACAATAACAAATATTTAAAAATCTAAAACGGTACACATATATCTTCAATTTATTGTTATTTATGTATTCATTTATTTTATTATTGCAATAACTAGAAATTCACGAGTAACCTTTAGAAAATGTATTAATTATTTAATGATGACAATAATTTTATTACGTAGAACGGATCGCAATGTTTTGACAACAGCAACAGAGCACTTGTATCAACTATCAACAATTGAAAATTTTAAACCACTTTAATTTATTAAATTGATCTTTCTTCAAAACAACGACTGGCTTTGTGACTTGGACCTGGACCAATCTGGATCGTATACCTACTTAAGACCTACGCATTCCCGAAGCACTGTGACGTTTTGTGATTTGGCTTTGTTACATGGACCGCTTGGAAATATCAATATCGAAAGTGACATGATGGAGAGAGAGAATTCTATCTTCAATAGAAAACATTGAAAGGGTAGGAACTGCAGCCGATATGAATCCACGAATGCCTAAAGTGTTGTATATGTTCGGAACTAATAAAACCAAAATCCTTCCATCCTGTACGGTGAGAATGAATTCAAAAGAAGGAACCGTATTTTGAAACACACGGTATTAAATGTGATCCTGACGCTGATCATTACAAACTTGCAACCTTATAACAACAGAGGATCGCCAAACCTACCGCAATTGCAAATACTTATTGCATTAAGGCATAAAAATGCAACTGGATGTTTTCAGGTAATATTATGTTCATAAATATGTATGGTTTTTCAATTTAATATATTATACCTCTTCTCAAATGATTTTAAATAGTACATATGTTGAAGACTTTTGTCTTCTGACTTTCAGAAACATAACATATATGTGACTAATAATACTTTATTGACATTACAGATGGTGTGTGGTGATCTGAACAGCATAAGCCAATCTACAGTCTGTTTAATTATAAATAAAGTCTCTGCAGAGTTGAGTAAATTACTTCCTAGATTTGTAAATTTTCCAAGAAATATGAACACAGCCAAAACGAAGTTTGAAGAATTAGGAAGATCTAATACTCACCATGGCCTAAACAGTATAATCGGAGCTATTGACTGCACCCATATAAAAATTAATAGACCCAAAGGTATCGCTCACTCTGAAGCATACAGAAATAAAAAGGGTATTTTTCTGTAAATGTGCAAGCAATAATAGGGCCTGATATGGAAATATTTGCTATAGTGACTAGGTGGCCTGGCAGTTCACACGACAGCAGGATATTTAGAAAATGCCTGTTTTAGTAGGTGACAGCGGTTATCCAGCACTTAACTTCATGTTAACAACACTTTTAAATCCAATGACAAGAGCTGACAATATTTATAATTATTCTCAAATAAGGACTAGGCATATTTTTTAAAGGTTTTTCGGAGTGTGAAAAAGGAAATTTCCATGTTTACAGCTAGGACTACAGTCAAAATTGACAAATACTAGTTATATATAATTATAGCTTGTGCTGTATTGCATAATATAGGTATACAGAGAGGCGATGCTTATGATGATGGTGATCTTGCTGACGGCAGAAGTTGAGTAACACAGAAACAATGAAAGATCTCCTACAGGTCTGCATTCCGGCAATCTGTGATTGCACAATTTAATTAGGTAATTTGTTTGGTAATAAAGAATATCAAAACAAAACTTGTTTCATTTTAATCATTTATTTTCTGATTCTTTTTTTAAGTGTAATACATATTTCTAATACTAATTTATATTTTTGTTGAAGAAATTCTATTTCTAACAGATTTTTTAATTTCATATGTTCCACTCCTATCTCAAATTTTTTAGGGTAGTCAGGTAATAAATGGTAGAAGATTCAGGGAAACGAAAATAACAGATGTGAAGCGAGAGACATCGGTTAGGTTATAGTTTGAATTTCGTTGTCACTATAATATGCCAGGGCTGCCAGGTGACATACAAAATCACACCAGTTATTTTTAAGATTTCTCAAAAATGGGGTTTGAACAATTACATAAATAATATAAATAAACAACAATAAATACCATAATAATGTGTAATTATTTTATTTCATGCATTTCATAGGTATTTATCAAGATCATTTATAATTTCTTTGAATTCAAATTCTATTTTTCCCAAAGTCTATGGAACTCCGATACAAAATGGCAACACCGTTCATTAAAAACCGACAAAAATAAAAAGTCCAGTAAAAGATATGATGGTAAAGCAAATTTTGGGCCATTATTTTTGTTAGGCTTATAGTCAAAGTTTTTGGTAAGTCGTCGATTTCGTGGACTTGAGATTAATCTAAGCCAACACTAGGGAGAGATTCGCAGTTTGCTCTATAAATACCGACTGTGTCTTAGCTCGATAGTTAAGTCAGAGCAAAGTCTAAGTGCGCACTATAGATCTCACCCTTAGACTATTAGAAAAAACTTCATCACAAAAGCGATTCGGAAATCTGAGGCCCAGACCTAAAAGGCTTTTTGACATGCCACTTGTTTTTATCAGAATAAAGATCTTCACACATTACTATAGCCGACATTTACTCACGTGACCAATTCCAAACAAAGTATTTTTAGTAGTCTGTTCTACTCACCGGAAGAACGGCGACCTTGCAGCTAAAAGGAGTGTGTGACATGGCAGTTCCAGGGCATTGCGGAAGCCGTACGCCGATCCACCTTCGCACCGCCATGATAAACGGGCATCGCATGATTCGCCTGAAATATAAGTTTTCTTTTTACTATGCAACACGAAAATTTAAAGTATGTACTAGCATAAATAGTCTGATTTTTGATTCCGTAGAAATCTGACAGTTATAATTTTTTGACATGTCAGAGATTATCTTTTTGGCCGGGCACATTTTTCAATTTCAATACGAGTCAACATCTGAGTCTATACATACATTTTATTTGTTAGTGAATGTATATATTTTATTAAGTGCGGTGCTCAGTGAGCCCTGCTCACATTAAAAGCTGCACATTCGCCAGATGTGGACGCACCCTTATACTTTGTATGAACGTATCACTTGTATTACTTTTTAGAGCAGTCTTGGCCCAGTGGCTTCAGCGTGCGAATGTCTTTCGTGGGGTTCGGACCCGTCTATGCACTAATGTACTTTTTATGCGATTTGAACACCTACTCGTACGGTGAAGGCAAACATCGCAAGAACGATCACGATGATACAGATATATGAGGCCTGGTTGCAAGTCTTTGCATATCTTACCAGAATCCAGTAAATATTTGATATCTCTATAAAGCGAATCGAGTGAAAATCCAAGTATGGCTGACAGACGACGTATGGACGACACGTCACGGCGACATGAGCAGGATCGACGGTCTGAAATTATACAAAATTATTGAGGTGAAACTTCTTTAGGCGCGTGAAGGTAAATTTTTAAACGTCACGAAGATGTGCAGCGTTTTTGTTGAAGAAAAGGGAGAGAGGGATTGAGACCGATTGAGAGAGTGAGAAGGGCGAATAACTTTATATAAATTGTATTTTTAAAATTAAAATTTCGTAAAGAGAATTTATGAAATATTAGTATTTTATATTTTATGCAAAATAGTTTATTGAAATCTCAAATGAGGAATTGTAAATTAAAATGCCACGTGTTTTTACTATCGAAGAAATAAATTAAAAAATTAAATTTATTATTTGTATTAATTTTCGACACTTAATATTTTAATGGCAATTAAATACATTAAATTCCTAACATATCTTCCTTTTTCCCTCCCTCTAAGTCTCGGAAATTTAAAGGTTTAGATTTGTATAAGGCTTAAAAACTTAAAAAGTTTGCCAAAGAAGTTTCACTTCTGACATGTGTACTTTGTACGCACGCACTTTCCTTTGCACTCAATTGTAGGTTAGGAAAAAAAAAAAAAAAAAAAAAAAAAAAAAAAAAAAAAAAAAAAAAAACCCTTCCCCCCCACACCCCCCCCACAAAAAAAAAAAACAGAAAAAAAAATTTTAAACGAAAAAGAGAAACCTCCTGGTGTTACGGGTGTGTATGGGGGCGGTATGCACTTTACTTTAAGTGACCCACCTGTTCGGAAGGGGGAGATAGAGCAATATGGGGGCAGCACGTCTTTCAATGAAGACTACGAAGAAGAGAAATAGTTCTCGTAATATTTTTAAATAGAATGATGTATATGAAAAGGTATGTCTATTTAAAAATCTAAAACAAATAAATAAATGGTATATATATATGTTATCCTTACAAGTAGCCGTATTCTCAACACTGATGATATCCAGGTCCACTTCAGAGCCCATGCCGCGCTCCCATTCTGAAAATTATACAAAACGAAAATTACAAATTTATTAACACTAATAAATTTGTATATTTTAGGACAATATAATGGACATACCAATGTAAACCACATTGGTATGCCATTTGGAAGTGTGCAAATATTTTTCATATTTAATTTTCAAAATTATTTAATTATGATTTATGAAAACTAAAAATAACAATATGACAAAAACACTGGAAAATTAGCTAGAGCTATCATTAAAAAATACTATATTTATTATTATTTAGTAAACACATCTGTAGCATAAAGCTAAGAAGAAAGAAAAGAAGAGACATTAGAAGAGAAATTTGTTTAAAAATAATTGAGTGAAGAGAAGAGGCCAGGACAACAGTCTCACGGAGTTCTTTCCATAAAGGCGTTACTCGGTTTTGGAAAATGTTTAGGGCATTTTCATTATTTTGGAAGTAGTTAGTTTTAGTGTATGGCCTCAAAGACGCTTGTTTTCATTTAAAGTACATAATATATTCTCAATGTGTTCTACAAAGCCAGAAATAATTTTGTATGTTTCTATTTCGATATCCTCTGAAGAATTCTGAAAATTTTTTGTGGCCCTCCATTACACATTTTCAATTTAAATGTGATATCTTTCTTTTTTTTCTCTCTTGCCCACATGAGTTAAGCATATTCCAGCAGTACCCGTATATAACCTTTAAATAATAGTAGATAAGTGTTTGGTGTAAGGCTTCAGAAGGCCTAGTAACCAAGCTATTCAATCGGTCTAACCTGAATTATCTCTTTTTATCATATTACTTATATGTGGTTCAAATTTCAAATCATTGTTTATAATAACACCAAGATCTTTTTGTGTTTTGAGTATCCAAAAACTACTTTTACATTTATTCCTTTGAATTGGCAGTCCTTAAGCTTTTATAAGAAAACACATTCGTTCTTACTGCGACACGCAGGACAGGGCGGCGTTGGCGGCGGAGCAGCCCCAGCGTACAAGGCCAAGAGTAGGGCTTCACCCTCTTCCCTGCGTAGCCCTGCACAAGCACCCTCCAATGGCACACGACTCGACCTGTAAATGTCATATTCTGGTTCGAAGGACCAAAATTTAACCGCTCCGTTTCATTTCATCGTTTCAATGTTTTTTACAACGAAAAATAAATTACGAGGCAGTCAGTTAAACACAAGACAAGCTTATTAAAAACTTATCAGTATTATTGCACTCTTTTAACTAAAGTATTTCTGCCTCTTTTTATTATTATAGCCTAAACACCTTGTGACAGAGACGAAAGTTAAGAGAGTGCTAAGACGAAATTAATAATAATAATGTTCGATACTATAACATGATGATTCGATGCGATACATGTTTTAAAGTGTTATTTGCATTGGACTTTACTGAGAAACTAACACATGAGTAGAGACGCGCCATGTTGCTTTTTGAAGTCAAACTTCTTTATCGGCGTTGGAATGAAACTTCTTTATCGACGTATGGGAGAAATTTTGTAGCAAATCGTCAAGTTTTTCAATGATAGTAATAATTCTATTACAATTAATGAAATTCTATAATAATCTTCGTAGTAATAAGGTAAAATGAAATATTTGTATTCATGTCCATGATAATAAAAGCCTTTTGTTAAACTTTATCTAATTTAACGAATTTCTGTAAAGTTGCATATAGTAGATCATTTTTCGAAAAATAAGATCATAAAGAAGTTTCACTTCTTACGTGTGTACACCTAGTACACGCACAATTTATTATTTCTATTGTTTGACATGCCATAACAAAAAGGACAAACAAATTTCAGCATGTTTAAATATATATACAGTCATACATCATGAGATATCAACTATGCCAGACCAATAAAATGTATACTATAACATACTTGGGATACCGATGCATCAAATCTCTGAAGTATGTACACCGTGCAGCTAATATAAGCCTATGAGCTGGTAGGGCCCAACCCGCGCCGCATACTTCCACATCACAGGCCACTCTGTCACGTAACAGCACTGCTAGATCTGCGTGCAAAGCTGCTGCTGGCTCGCGTGCCAACTCCGCCTGCGTCACCAAGTCACGAAGGGCCGCACCCGCCTCTAACTCGGCGCATAGCAGAAACACCTCTGCCACGCGCCAACCGCTGACGACCGACCGAATATAGCGCGCATGTTCGCATCCTAAGGATAAAAGAAATGTTGGATACAGATAAAACAACATGTTATACGGTGTACACTCCATGTAACGTCTCTCTATTTAACGACAAACCTCCTATAGCGTTGAAATCACTCAGCTTTGGTTGGGTTAGCTTGTCTTCAATGCTACACTCTAAATAGCATTACACCCTCCCTCAATAACGACAACAATTAAATACTAAAAAGTAATTTTTAAGTTGCCGAATTAGATAAAACTGCGGAGCGAACGTTGTTTTGTCGCTTTATTGTATAAATAATCTCGACTGTCGGTCCTCATCATAGGTACCGAACTTTCCAAGAAAACCGTTCTTTTTTACAAATTTCGCATTATCAAGAAGATGACTCAATATCGCAAGATATGAATAAAATAAGTAAAAAAATACAACCTAACTACTGGTATAGTACAAAAATAACACAAATATATATAACTATAGCGTTCAAATACGAATTGTTGTTATGTAATTACTAACACTAGTCTGAAATAAACTTTCTTTTTCTTATACAGATTTTTCGTTCCATTTAACGTTAACTCTTTGTAACGTCAATAGGCACAGTCCCTTGAGTGTCGTTAATAGTTATATAGAATTTACACTGTATATCGTAACTATGATTAACACAGACCTATTAGTCCACTTTTTATGAGACGGAATCTCGTAAATATAACTATAGGCAGCGCATTTAATAGTCTAAACAGGGCATTCTTTTGTTTGACCCAAAATCTTATTTGCTTAAAATTCATACAAGGTGTGCGCTCACTTATTTGTAGTAAGTACCTCCTGTTCTTTGTCTTAATGTGTTTTTTCCTTATTTGTACTTTTTATGTTCTAATATAATTAATGTGTATGACGTATGTATCCAAAATTTGCAACTTTATATTTTTTGTGGTAAATGAAGTCGTTTTTTAACTGGTTATGTTAATTGATGGTTAAGGGGTCGTTATCAATTTATTATAAAATGCATATATAAATTGGGATCAGGCGAGTATAAAATAAAACTTTTCAAGGTGGGACCGCGATCTTTCAAGAACCTTCCAGTCTCTGCCTGAACACGAATGCTGTAACAATTCGTGTTTATATCCGAAGTATACACATCCTCACCACGATCAGGACGACAGTCTCGGGGCCTGCGTGCGGCAGCCGCTATTCTCCGTCTCAGAGTGCCCAGTCCTGCACCGCCCGATTTCTTCTTTCTTTCACTGGAATATATAACTTATATTATCTTCTGAGTTACAATTAACTGACTCTCATCTGAGGTCGTACGTGTGTACCAATGGGTTTTACTTATGCGCAATTTTGTTTTAGCGAATTTGCTAGTACTGGGAAGGGAAAGATCATACAGGCTGATCACTTACATACTTATAAATGGAAATTATAATAACACACACATAAATCTAAGGCCGAGGTCTCATTGAACTGTTTTTTATTTGTATATATGATGATTAAAGTACAAATTATTTATTAAGGGCAATATATTTTCTTGTCATATGGTTATTTTAAATTCATCATAATATGTACCACTTTCAATGTAAATAAATGATTTATATATTTTGGTTATTATGTATTTTTTACCGTTTTCATATTAGGGAGCGTTCAAGTATTACGTCACGCAACTTTTGGAGATTATTGACAACTCCCCCCCTCTCTGAGGACTCTCCCCCTCTCCCCCATGTAACGCGCCGTAACGTTTTTCTGTACCCAATAGTAAAACGTTTCGTGACCACTCAGTGGCTCTTTATAACTAAAACTTACCATTATGTGTGTATAGTACTGGAAAGTCGAAAATAATATTAACAATAACGCGTAATTCAATGCCCGCCCCACGTCGTAACGTTTTACAAAAGGACCCCCCCCCCTCCCAAAATTCGTTACGTAATACTTGAACTCTCCCTTATGTATTTCATAAATCACTTCACACACAATACTTCAACAACTTTTTACAAATAATTAAATGATAAAGATCTCCAATAATCTTAAGCCTACCATAAGAAGAAAAATACTAACCGTATCACGTCGGCCATGGTGGGCGGCGAGGCGGGCCCACCACCGTCACACGCCTCCCCTTCCTGAAAAATATGTATCATTAATGCTGTATATATTTTCTTTCATTCATATAAATATGAAGAGAAGCCCCGTGATTATGGGAGCTCTTTACGATTTACGAGCATTTGCACACAGCTCAAGGGTAATAGTCGGCGTTTTCAGAACGTCAACAAAGAAATGTAAGCGATATATTAAAGACATTACCTGCGGGTGCGAGAGCGCGGCGCCCATGTCGTGACGCGCGCGCAGACAGCACAGCAGCCGGCTCATCCCCCGCCATCCGCCCTACCCGCCATCACCGCCCCAAACCACGGCAACATTTACCTTCAGATAGTTTCCTAAATTTAGTTACATCTTCAATTTTTGCTTTTCTTAGTACTCTCACAATAAATTTTAAATCGTTCAAAAGTTCTAAATGGTACATCAAGCAAATTTAACTCATGCGATTTTATTTGATAAATGATTATCCAATTAAATTTTACAGGAATCTTTTTCTTTTTTGAAAAATTTGACATATGGAAGTAGTTAGAACTTAGTCTCAACTCGGAATTGTACTCTAATGTCATAACCTTAACTGCACACTGTTTAGGAGAAGTATTAATTAATGATCACTCCTTTACAAATCAAGAGAACTTTGCGAGGCTCCAACACACAAAACATATCAATACACAATAAATTCTATTGCGGCATAAGATGCAGATTTAACAACTCCTCTATAATGTTCTCCTTAAACTTCTAGTTACTTATAGCAAAATTTTATGTTGCTCTCTGGCGGTAGTTTTGACTTGTGTATGGACTATGGAATTCCTTACCAATTGATATCAGACAAGCTCAGTCTTTAAATTTATTTAGATAGCATTTTTTAACATTTTTTTTCTGCCTCAAATTAGATACTACCTATACACATTGTACACTCTTTATAACGTCATTCGTTATAACAAAAAACTCTATATAATGTAAAATGAGTTAAATTTATGTGGTTTAATCCAATACCCACACATTAATTCTCTTTCTCTATAACAAATAAAAACCCTCGAGAGTTACTGAGCAAAAAAAAAACTATTAAATCACTTCAAATAAGTAATAAAAGAATTTTTAAACCTTACCATTACATTTTATTTTGCTTTATGTTATGATGTACTAGATTCAATCTTGGTACCAGAAGTACATAGTACAGAGTAATGGAATGTGCTTATTGTAGGCATGTGATACCAAAAAAAGCAAACTTACTTTGGCCAATTGCTCTTATGATATACATACAATAGGATATACAGAAAAATTGTGAAGGTTTCATCTAAGTAGGCAATGTAAACAGTAGCAACTGTCACAGTTTCTCCCTATCAGATTGTAGATAATATGTACTATGTAGGTGGCCTACTTATCAGTTATACATTGAAAGTGAATGTTTGGGGGTGCGGCTAAGGGATGTTCTGACGTCATTGCGCGCGCAATCCGCCCCCTGAACTCACATGACCTACTTCCCTTTTGCGACACACTATTGCGATATGCATTAAAATGTCAACAGGGCTCGCCACAAGCGCGTTATTGACCAACACTGGCCTAGAAACTAATTTGCACAAACCTCACACACAGTGTCACAGTAAACAACTGTTGTTACATGTAATCTACATCAAAAAACATTTAACACCCGATTATGACTAGTTGAAGATGGCTAGCAGAAATGTAAATGATGATACTTTAAATAAATCAAATTAGTTCTTACCAACGGTCCTACTCATTACAACAATTAAATCCAATTTGTTTTAACACTTTTCACATAAACATTTTGTAGTACGCCGCCATTAAAAACATTCACTTAAAACACAAAATCAAACATCACAGCATTGTTCAAGAAACCTCTTTGCGTCCTAACGGAATACTATGAGACTGGTAGTTTTTATATAGTACAGCTAGACTACGAATAAAACCAAGTCAACTCAATAAAGAGTCAAAAAATCAGAAACTAGAAGAATCAAGAACCCGTTATTCCAACCAAGTTAACCAGATTCTGAAATTCTGATTTCTGACAGACTGATATCTGACAGTTGAATTGTAATTTTCTTTTGATGATATGACAATGGATAGTATTTTAGCTATGAATGTTTTTAAGTAAGACCGTTTCTGTGGTTCTTAGTAGCGCTTTAGTCTGTACTCTGTACTGAGCTTTTAACGTCGTATACTAGCGTTTGTGGTTTTAACTTTCAAGATGTTTAAAATGAATAATTATTTAATATTTATTGATATATTTTGATATTGTAAAACTTTGCTTTTATAATTCGTTTGTTTACATATTATCGTATTGCAAACTAATCGATCACACAGACGTGACTATCTTATGAGGGTAAGGATTTAAAAAATAAATTGACTAACAATATTAACACATCTGCTGTAGACGAATTTAATTTAATCTGTAAGGTTAAACAAAGATATATCATTTTAAAATTTTAACTAAAACTCGCTCCAGAACGTTCTCTAAAAAAATTAGACCTGTCAGCTGGAAATTTACTATAATTTGATAAATCATAGGACAAATACAAGCTGATTTGTAGATTTTAATAAATTCTTCCAGATATAAAATATTAATAATCAAAACATTCTTAATCCCTGTGGGATGTTTTTAAATTGAAATATGTATTAGATTTTTATACTTATTGCTTTTTTTTTTCAGGAATAGAAATTGCAATGGGGGACAGCTCAGACAGCAGTCCCAATATTATAATTGATGACCACTCATCCAACAATGCCTCAGAGACTCCTTCGCCTCCAAGCCCAGACATTCTGGAAGACAGCTCTCACTTAAATGAACCTACTCCAGGCTATGAGCCTTCTTCACCACGCTATGATCCTTCTTCTCCAGTCTATGAGCCTTCTTCTTCACTGAATTCTAACTCACAAAGTTATGCTGTTATGACCTCTCTTTATCGGCCTGCTGCACTTGAAGTACATCTTGATTTACCCATTTATGAACCTGTAAATCCTTCCAATAATATTTATGTTGCTATACCATGGACTTATGAATCGAGAAATTTAGAACAATCAGAAGATAGCAATCCAGTTATAGTTAATGAAGAATCAAGCAGCTCACCTCAAGATATAGCTAAGACTTATGAGAATTACCCAGAGCCACCTGCAAAAATAAGACGTTTAAGTTCCCCTAAACAAAATGATGACTGTGATGGAGAAACTTGTCCAATATGTTTAGATACCTGGGGAAATTCAGGTGACCATAGACTGGTTGCACTCCGATGTGGACATTTATTTGGAGCAAAATGTGTTGAAAGGTGGCTCAAGACACAGGTGTCTAAGAACAGATCTTGCCCTACATGTAAACGTAAAGCATCTATGAAAGATCTGAGATTTATTTATGCCAGACGATTAGTTGCAGCAGATACTACACAAATAACTGCTCTTCAAAAACAAATAGAAAACTTACAGGCTGAGAAAAACAGAGTAGAATTAGAGCTTCAAACTTCAAAGATAGCACATCGTTCGAGACTATTAGAGTTAGAAGTCCTGAGAAAAGCATTACTGAAAAAACAAGTCAATAAAGAGGAGACGCCACGACGATCATGGCGGTTTGCTTTAGAAAAAAATTTGGAAATATGTAAAGATGGTGATTGTCGTGTGCTTACATACAATTGTCGAACATATGAACTGTACATATCACAAAAAAGCTCTAACTACTTGTTTCCTGGTTATGGAATCAGAAAAGTAAGTTGTGTTGACTACAAATTGGGACAGTTTATGCACTTGCATCCTAAACCAATCAGAGATATTACATATTCTCAACCTAGAGATTTACTTTTGAGTGCTGGTTTAGATGGTTGTGTAAGAATTGTGGAAAGAGGAATACCCAGCTCCACTATTAAGTGTGGGGTACCTTTGTGGTCATGCTCATGGGACAATCTAAGAAGCAATGAGTTCTATGTTGGGGGTGTAGGAGGTATCATTTGCCAATATGATGTTCGTAATCCTAATACTTATATAAATAAAGTTTCAATACCTGGAGATCTTTCACCGGTTGTATCACTATGTTCAACAGAATTTGGACTGCTATCATGCCAATTAAACTCTTGTAATTTGTGGAGTGTGGGTAGTACAAGACAATGGGAGCCACATCCATTGCCAGTAGATGGTCCTTTTATGTCACTGTGTTATAATGGTGCATCCCATCAAGTGTTGGTGTCAGGTAGGGCTAGTGGGTCAGAAAGGTCTAAGTTGACTCTGTGTAAGTTAAAATCAAGTTTTAAAAGTGATGAAGTGTCATTTGATGTTGAGCATACATTCAGTGGATCTTCTCGATCATTAACAATGTCTCGTGCTGCCTGGGTAACAGCCCCAGGAGCAACTTGGGTGGGTGCTCATTCAGAAAGTGAGTCTGCATTATTTTTACATGGACTGGATGGAGCCAGGACTATGTCTTTGCCTGCAGCTGAACCTGCATTAGATGTATGTGCGGCGCAACTAAATGGTGACACGGTATTAGCAGCACTCTCAGCCTCTCGACTTAGATTGTACAAAGCAGTTTCAACAAATTCCTGACAGAAAGACTACTACTGCACATTGTAAAGGCTATTTTGCATTTAATTATTGATTAGCTTAGCATTTAATTACATTAATCATCTTTTATTTCTATGACTGTGTAAATTAAATTAAAGTTAGAGATAAGTGTTTCATATTGTTGGTTCTGATTAGTTGCTATTAAGTGTATATAAAAACTGAAGGTTGTAAATTAAATAGCTTTGTTATAATATATCAGGCAAGCTAAGCAACTGATTCATTGATTGTCTATAGATATAGATTGTGTATAGAAATATTTATAGACCACCAAATATTATAACCAAAATTATTTGGTATCCTGAACAAAGTACAACAAAGACAATCTAAGATGCTTTTATGACATCAGTCCTAAAATAGTAAGACAGTCAGTAATAGGTTTCTTAATTTTCCATAAATACCTACTGTGAAATCTTCACTCATGTCAATATTGTGTGATGAAGACAGATCAGTAAATATTACTTAAAATGCTGTCATAGACTCATAAGTGGGACTTAATAACATCAAAAATACAAAGTCAAATATGACTAGCTCTTGTAAATGCAAGTGTTAAGGGGATTTGACGCATAAATTGACCTCAACTTCTTTTAAGTTATTTTTTAAATTACCACTGTGCTTTCTGTATATTTACAATTCCAAGAACCTCCTTTGTGATTCTGAACCTGATTTGTGAAACTACAATCCTTTTAGTTAACTGTTACCACCCATTATTA